GGCCTGGGAAGCAGGTGCTGTCCAGGCATCTGTGCCAGCCCTGCCCGAGAAGGCCTCAAGTGTGTCTCACTGTTGCTGTCACCGTGTCAGTGCTCTAGATTTTGGAACAACCCTTGTCTTCATTCTGCACGAGGTCTCAAGTGCTGGGTGGTTTTTTTGTTTTTGTCTCTGTTGTTCTTGTTTGTGAGAGGGTCTCATTAATTCAAGCTAGCCTCAAGCTTTCTAACCCTGAACTCCCGGTCCCCTTTGCCTCCCCCTCCCTGAATGCTGGGACTTCAGGCCGTGGTGTATGATCTTACACAAGTCAAGAAGGCTGAGTGTGCAAGGCTGAGGTGTGAGAACAGAGAAATGAAGGTAGCCTCGGGAGTCATTGCAGCCAAGCGTGACCTACAGAGGCGGCCTCACAGTGACCATCTTGTCACTGGTAAGAGTATGTATAGTGAGCCGGGCGTTGGTAGCCCACGCCTTTAATCCCAGCACTCGGGAGGCAGAGGCAGGTGGATCTCTGAGTTCGACAAGGCCAGCCTGGTCTACAGAGTTTCTTTTTCTCTTTTCTTTTTTTGGTTTTTTCGAGGCAGGGTTTCTCTGTGTAGCTTTGGAGCCTATCCTGGCACTCGCTCTGTAGACCAGCCTGGCCTCGAACTCACGGAGATCCGCCTGCCTCTGCCTCCCGAGTGCTGGGAGTAAAGGCGTGCACCACCACCGCCCGGCTTAGAGTGAGTTTCTTACACTGGGGCTACACAGAGAAGCCCTGTCTTGAAAACAACAACAAAAAAGTGTGTAGCCGGGCGTTGGTGGCGCACGCCTTTAATCCCAGCACTCGGGAGGCAGAGGCAGGCGGATCTCTGTGAGTTCGAGACCAGCCTGGACTACCAAGTGAGTTCCAGGACAGCCTCCAAAGCCACAGAGAAACCCTGTCTCGAAAAACCAAAAAAAAAAAAAAAAAAAAAAAAAAAAGTGTGTATAGTATGAAAATATAAGCAAGGCCTAGGAAGCCTTCAGGTCTGAGCCAAGAGCCACACCCACAATTGCTGAGGCCCCCCTTTTAAGGGTCTCCCCAGGTTTCTGACCACAACTGTGGCAGGTGGCGAGTATTAGTGCATCGTCTCAGGAAGAAAGCCTGGGTTGGGCATGCGTGCAGTTAGCCATGGGCTGTTGAGGAGACCGTCAGAGCGCTAATGTCTGGGCCTCAGTTTCCGTCCCAGGTTGCTGCGGGTTCCTCCATACTATGTCCCTGGCTCTTCCAAGTGAGGAACCTCCAGGCTCCCCTGATGGTTCACAGCGAGACAATGCAGCTGGCGCTGCCTTGCATCTGAGTAATGTCTCTCACGAGACTCTGCAGGCTGCCAGCTCATGGAGACTGTCACCTGTCTGTGACTGGACTCGGCTTTCAGGGGTGGGGTCCCAGAGCAAGACCACACTAGTGTGAAGCGAGTGTCCCTCCCCATCACTCCCCCCCCCACTGTAACTTGGAAGTTCAAAGGGATAGTGGGTTTTTTTTTTTTGTTTTTGTGTTTTTTGCAAGTTTGTTTTCTGCCTTTTACACTTATTTACTTTTTGGAGGGATAGGAGCGTATGCGCCACTAGGAGCCTGTAGCCGGCAGAGGATAATGTACAGAAATAGCTTCTCTCCTTTTTCCATGTGGGTCTCAGGGATGCCGCGCAGCTTTCAGGCTGGGCAAGGAGCTTTCTCACTGATGAACCACGTGGGTGGCCCTCATTCTTGAACGCCTTTCCACTGGGCTTGGTAGCTCATGATGAAGCCTGAGGCAGGAGGATCTCCCTCAAGTGTAAGGCCATCCTGGAGAGTAGGATAGCATCAGATCTTTTAAATCCTTCCACACCAAAAGTAACAACACCTTTTTTTTTCCAGGCTAGGGGTGTGTGGTTCAGTGGTTAGAGCACTGTGTAGCTTTTCTGGGGCCCTGGGTTCCCTTTCCAATACAACAAAGCTGGGACACTAAAAAGACTTCCAGGGAGACAGAAAACAGCTGCTGGAACCCAGGGGAGTTAGACAGAAGCAGGTAGCTCTTCAGGGGAGGCCAAGGGCCCTCTCTGGTCTGAGTCTTTCAGGGAAACAGCGGCCCCATTCTGGAGTGCTGACCCACTGCTGCGGACCTGGGCTGGAGGGATGTCAGGTGGGGGAGACAGGTTCGTTATGTCTAGATGTGCTCAGGGCATGACAAGGAGAGGAACAGAAACTTGAGCAGGCTGGGGCCAGGGAGGACTCAGCTTGTAAAATACTTGCACACAGGTGTGGGGACCAGAGTTCAGATCCCTTGAGAGCGAGGAAAAGCTGGCTGGGTATGGTGACCTGTTTGTAATTCCAGCTGCAGAGAGAGATAGAGACAGGGAATTCCCAGAGCAAACGGGCCAGCCGAACTAACATGGAGAGACCCTGTCCCATGTAAGGTGGAGGGAGATAAAGAGGACGGCCAATGCCAACCCTGGGCTCTCACAGGTGTGAGTACACCTGCACACACTCGCTCCTACACACGAACACACACGCACCACACAAACATGTCCCCCAAAATAAATAAATAAATCTGTCCTGCCGTCCTCCCCTGGCTCCAGCTTCGCTGGCATTCCAGCAGAGAGACTGAGGTGTCACACGTGCCTGGGGTGCGCCGTTCAGTGGCATTAGGGTACACTCACAAATAGTGTGCCGTCTATCTCTGGAGCTCTGTGGTTGCCAACCGAACCTCTGCCCCGTTGATCACCACCCTCATTTCCCGACCTTGGCAGCCTGGGCTCCACTCTCTGTCTCAGAATTCAGGTGTCCCCAAGTAATTATCTTTTTGTGGTGGCTTCTTTTAGTTAGCATAATGCCCCTGGGCTTCTCTGTGTTGTAATGTGTATCAGATTTTTTCCTTCCTTTCAAGGCTATTCCGTCGTGTGTAGGAACTGTGTTTTCTGTATCCATTCATCCACCATGGACACTTGTCAGCTTTCTCCCTTTGGCCCCCATAAATTACTCGTGCCGCAGACAGTAAAGCACTTTCGTTATCATTTTGCGAAAGAAGCCTCACGTAGCCCAGGCTAGCCTTGAACTTGCTGTGTAGCTGAGGATGACTTTGAACGCTTTATTTTCCTGCTTCCGTCTCCCAAGGGCTGGGATCGCAGGCCAGTGCCTGGCTAGGAATGCCCTCCTAAAAGGAATGGGCTCTTGGCCAGCAGTGGGAGGGGGAGGCATGCAGGGGAAGGCGGGGCAGCGGGTATGGGCATTAGCGCTGAGGCACCAGACCCCACTGGACATCTGGTGCATGGGCTCATGGGTAGTAGACCCCTTCCTCGGCAGGTAAAGTGTGTCAGGCCGAGCACATTCTAGGAAGGACACACCGGTCCCCACGGACACAGGGTCTCCAGGCCTGGTTTTTATCAGCAGGCTCTTTGGCTGGGCCTGGAGGTAAAAGCTCTGAATCTGAGAAAGAGAGAGGCCTTTTAGAGGGGGTTTCTGTCAGTTTTGCTTTGGTCCAGTTACACCAAAAAAGCTGCTGGCCAGTGGCAGCCACGTGGAGTCAGTCTCCCAGGGTAGCAGGGTGCAAAGGAGAGTCTGGCAGCAAGAGAGTAGGGCAGCCTGGCATGCTGCTGGGTGTGCTGGGTGTGGTGGAGATGGCATGGAGGGTGGAGGGGCTTTGGCTGGGAGGGAGAGGACACCGAAGCCCAGAGAGACAGGCATTTGCCTAAGGTCACGTGCTAAGCAGTGGAGGGGCCAAGAGTCATCCCCGGATCAGCTGACCCTATAGCCATTGGACTACGGAGCCTCCTATTGTTGCAGAAGAACAACCCAGACATGTCAGTAGGCACAGATGTGGCAGGAAGAGGGTCTACTGAGCTGCATTGTCATCCTGGTCAGCATCCAAGAGCTGTGGTCCCGGAGAGCCCCCAGCCGCTAAGAGGCCATAGTCACCACCCTGACGAGGAGCACAGAACTGCGTGACTTCACGTGCTCATTCCATCTTTGCCAGTGTCTGTCATTGCTCTAGACTCAATATGACAAGTCCCCGTCAAGAGACAAATAGGGTTTTTTCCAAATCCCAACTGGTATCTAGTAGTAGTAGTACTAGTTTAAGAGTGTTGACTCGCCGGGCGTTGGTGGCGCACGCCTTTAATCCCAGCACTTGGGAGGCAGAGGCAGGTGGATCTCTGTGAGTTTGAGGCCAGCCTGGTCTACAGAGTGAGTTCCAGGACAGTCTCCAAAACAATACAGAGAAACCCTGTCTCGAAAAAACAAAACAAAACAAAAGAGTGTTGACTCATGAAGGGGTGATGGCCTTCAGTGGTAGTCTGGCTTGTGATGGTACTGAACGACCAGTCTGGGCCTTTTAAAAAACATTATATACACATATTTTACATTTTTATTTATGTGTTTTATGTATATGGCATGTATATGTATATCCGGCATGTACATCTTCATGCCGGAAGAGGGCGTTGGATCTTATGGGGGCTACAGTTACAGATGGTTGTGAGCCTCCATGTAGGTGCTGGGAATTGAACTCAGGATCACTGGAAGAGCAGCCAGTGATCTTTTACCCGCTGAACCATCTCTCCAGTCCCCTCAAAGTACTTTTGTTTTTAATGTGTAACTCGTGCGTGTGTGCATGCGTGCGTGCGTGTGTGTGCGCGCGTGCGTGCGTGAGCCCATGTAGACCAGAAGGGGGCACCAGATCTGCTGAAGTTGTAGTTAACAGGTGTGTGAGCTGCTGATATAGGGACTGAAACTGGGTCCTCTGAAAGAGCAGTGTATGAGCTACTAAGTCATTTCTGCAGCCCAATAGTTTGGGGCGTTGAAGGGGGCTGGAACTGGACTCTGATTGCCCTGTGTTGATTGTCCTGTTTATTGTCTGCTCTGCCCCATGTAAGCCTCATGAGCAAAGGGAGCTGGGTCTCCCGAGTCACCTTCTGTCCACAAGGTCCAGGGCAGTCCCTGACCCACCATGAGAATGCAGAAAAGCCTTACTGAGTACTGAGAAAGTAACCTGTCCTCCTTTGTCCCCCAGGTCTAGCTGGGAGCTCCCTGATCTCCAGGAGGGCAAAATTGAGGCCATCAGCGACTCAGATGGGGTGAACTACCCCTGGTATGGCAATACCACCGAGACCTGCACCATTGTGGGCCCCACCAAGAGGGATTCCAAGTTCATCATCAGCATGAACGATAACTTTTACCCGAGCGTCACGTGGGCCGTGCCCGTCAGCGAGAGTAACGTGGCCAAACTGACCAACATCTACCGGGACCAGAGCTTCACCACGTGGCTGGTGGCCACCAACACCTCGACCAATGACATGATCATCCTGCAGACCCTGCACTGGCGCATGCAGCTCAGCATCGAGGTGAACCCCAACCGGCCCCTGGGCCAGCGCGCCAGGCTGCGGGAGCCCATTGCCCAGGACCAGCCTAAAATCCTGAGCAAGAATGAGCCCATCCCGCCCAGCGCCCTGGTCAAGCCCAATGCCAACGATGCTCAGGTCCTCATGTGGCGGCCCAAGTACGGGCAACCGCTGGTGGTGATCCCGCCCAAGCACCGGTAACAGCCAGGTCGCTGAGAGAACTCACGGAACAATGTTACTGCTCAGAAGGAAACCCAGATGCCCTCTCCGGTCATTCAGAAAAATACAACCAATCTACCTTCTCCAGGGGCGGAGCTCACTGTGCTAATAATACCCCTGCTGGCCTCCTGGCTCTTCCGTCTGCACAGGGACGAACGTGTCCCCTCCCCTCACCCCTCCCCAGGTCACCTCTGATCTCCTCTCCTCCCATCACAATCACTTGTCCACTGTCTCTGAAACACTGCGCCCCCGCCCCCCCCCACACCTTTGTGGGATTTAGAGGCAGGGGAGGAGGCTGACCGTGAGGGGACCCAGCCCTCCCCTCCCGCCTCCCCTCTGTCTGTCCTCTGCCATGCGGCCTTATGTAGACTTGCTTTGCCAAACTTTTGCCTTAAGCTGAATTTAAAGGAGAAGAGGAAAGGAAAGGCGACAGGTCTCTTCCCCGCAGGCCCTGCCTCCTTCTGCCAGAGTTGGAGACAGGGGCAGGCCCAGAGGGAGGCCCCGAGCCCCTCTTCCTGGAGAAAGCCAGCTGTTTTATCATGTTGTTTTGGCAGAATCAAAACTACAGACTCTGCCCAGAGCCCCTACTCCACCTCAGTAGAGACCCTCCCTAACACCTGCCAGCGTGCCAGCTGGGCATAGATCCTTGACCCCTACTGTCTCTCGGTAGCCTTAACTCGCCTGGTGGGGGTATTCTGGGAGAAGGGAGGGGCAGGTCCCAAAGTGTTAGGTCAGGGCCAGGGACTTTCATCTTTGCCATCTCTAGAACCTGCCCCCAGGTATGTGGCTATTTCTCTTCCATTCACCTTGGTCCCAAATGCCTGCCGGGGCGGGCCTGGGTGGGGGTGGGGGCATTGCCACTAAATCCTGACAGTCCCAGCTGTTTTTAAGGTCACACTTGAATCTGGGGTTCCAGTGCCCCAGGCTGCCCATCCGTTAGCACACTGTAAAGGAGCCTTGACAGGCTTCTGGTTCATTCTCAGGGGAAGTGGGTCCCAGATTCTCTGGGGGTGGGCTGCAGATAGGTAGGCTCTGAGTGCCAGTTGGAGGGTGCTTGGGCCCCCTCCCCTCCCCGTCATAGGTGCTCCTGGGGTGGGGAGGTCTGGGGAGCAGTCAGCCGACCCCGTTTCTTGCTGAAGAAGGAAGACCAGGCCCAGGGCTGCAGAGTCCCATGCTTGGGAGGTGGCAGGCCATGGTGAAACTGGTTTGACACATACACGTGTGGTAGCCAGTCTTGGGGTCTGCTGTCTGGAGCCCTGGAACCTGGCCCCGAGTGATGCCGAGGGTTTCTAGAAATGCCTGCCTTGCCTGCCTGAGGGACATTCCTTTAAGCACTCCGGCAGCTGCATCATCACTAGATTCCAATCAGTACTAAGCACAGAAAACGTGTCATACAGGAACAGTAAATGCTTTTGCTGCTGCTGAGCCACTTGGAGAGGAGTTGTGGTGACAGCGTGGGAAGACATGGCTAGATCCCAGCTCTTCCTACACCTGTGACATATTTCCTTCAGGGGTGCTTAATGTCCGGTCAGTCTCAGGGTACTAGAGCTGGGGACTGCAGTCACCTGGAGTGCAGTGCTGAGCAGTGGGTGCTGAGGGCCACTTGCCACAGCTGCACCTCCTCTGGAACCTTCCTTCAGTGTGTGTGGAGTCTGTCACCTAAGCTGGAAGAGCCAAGGGGCCCCAGCCCCGCACTCTAGGACAGGACTGGCCCTTGGGGAGAGGCCCCTTCTCCTCTTGCCCTGAAGAAAGGAGACTGGGCCCTGGCGAGAGTGGAGGCTAGCCCTTGTCCTGAGCTGGGTGGTCACTAAGGTGTCTTCCTGGACACGGGGCTGGGGAGAGGAATGACAGTAAGGGCGGCCAGAGCTGCTCTAGTAATTCCTGAGGCCCCTTCCCCTGCATGTCTGGCTTTGCACACCTGGCTTCTCTGGCTCCCCTGTCTCTCTACCCTGCTGGTCTGAGACAGGATGGGGGACAGGGCGGGCGGGGAGGGAGGCGGGACTCCAGAGTGGTTCTCTTGGACTGGCTCCCTCAGCCCATTGCCTCCTGTTGCAGACAGATCCCAGGCTTTCTGGGGTCCCTGTCCTTCTCCAGCTGCCCCTCACACCCATGCCTTCCCAGGCACGGACACTCACCCTTTCCAGCAATAAGCACCAACCGTACTTGGTCATGGAGATACTGTGAACACAGCCCATGGTTGCACTTACCAGCAGGCGCCAGACTCTTGAAGACAATGTCAAATGAACCTTTTTTTAAAAAAAAAGTTTAAAATAAAAGATATAAAAGATAAATAAAATTAATTTTAAAGCACCCCTGGCTCTGATGGTGGTTAAGTGGGGTCTCAGGCTCACCATGGCTGGCCAGGGTGAGCATATTTGGGGAGATGCTGTGCGGCTGTGGTTCCCACACTAAGTTCTGGAAGATGCAGACTCTACCTGCTCTTTTCTCGTGGTCCTGTCTCTGTTGGGACTGGCTGTAGGATTGCAGAAAAGTTCCTGACAGGACAAGAGTTGACTTGGGGACAGCTTTGGTCTCTCTCTCTCTCTCTCTTTCTCTCTCTCTCTCTCTGTGTGTGTGTGTGTGTGTGTGTGTGTATGTGTGCACGTATGTGCACGTTTGTGTGGAGACCAGAGGTCAATGTCTTCTGGGGCTCTCTGCCTTGTTTTTGAGACAGTCTCCATGAACCTGGAACTCACCAGTAGGTTAGATTGGTTGCCCAAGCAGGTTTAGTGACCCCGTTGCTGGTGTCACAGGCTCACACCATTGTATGTGGCTTTTACCTGGGCTCTGGGATCAACCTGTCACCCTTTGGTTTGTGTAGCCAACTGAGCTCTCTCCCTAGCCCCAGCTTTATGTATGTATGTATGTGTTTGTTTGTTTGTTTTTGATGTAGGCTATTGCTGTATCTCCCCGATTGGACTGGAAATGGGTACCAGTAATCCAAACTGGTCTCGAAGTCCTAACAACCCACCTGCCTCTGCCTCCTGAGTGCTGAGATTAAAGGCGTGCACCACCACACCTGGCCCTCCAACTTGTTTTATTTTTTTTGTTTTTTTGTTTTTTTTTTTGTTTTTGTTTTTGTTTTTACGAGACAGGGTTTCTCTGTATTGTTTTGGAGGCTGTTGGTCCAGCCCGGCCTCGAACTCACAGAGATCCGCCTGCCTCTGCCTCCCGAGTGCTGGGATTAAAGGCGTGCGCCACCACCGCCTGGCAATTGTTTTATTTTTTTTAAGAATAAGTACAACTGTGTATCAAGGGTGACATGTGTTCAGATCAGGTTTTTATTAGAGTCACCCATGGATCTGCAATCTCCCTAGGTAGAAACATACAGGACAAAGTCGGTCACACGGCTATGCCCCTGCTCCCTGGCTAGCAGTGGTGTAAGGTCACTTTTGTGCACTTGGATGAAACCCTGTGGAAAGGGGGTCTCCGGCAGTGCCTGCTGGCCAGCGTGAATAAACAAGTTGGGCTCTGATGCTAGAGTGAACCCACCATGATGGTCCCGGGAGCAGGGAGTAGGTGTGTGTGTGTGGGGGTGAACTAGCAGACCTCATGTCTTAGAAGAGGTAGAGGCTCAACTCCTGGCCTGAGTCACTGACCACTGCCCATTCAGCCAGAGCAGATGACTATGGGCATACACTTGGTGCCAAATAATTGTTAGTTATTATTAAGAAAGTGCTTGCAGCACACCCTCCATCCAGGTAGAACACACCTTCCTCCCCACCTCACTTCCCAGGAGTTGTGCATTTAGTTATGTGCGGCCCTTGGAAAAGCAGTTCCAGGACACTAAAGCAGGAAGTTGAATCATGAGTTTCTCTGGCACTCTCCCCCCAGATGGCTCATGGGTGGTGCCTGTGTCAGAGTTTGGTTTTGGTCTCGGAATTAGCTCCTGAGTATTGTGTGCAAGGGATCGTGGTTTGTGTGTGTGTGTGTGTACAGACGTGTATACATCAAAAGAGAAGTCCCATCAGATCACACAGCCAGAACCAAGGTGCGCAGGAAGCCAGCTTTGCTGCAGCAGGACAGTGGGGTATGAGGAGCGGGAGGAGCAGGAGTCAGGTGGCATCTAACGGTTCCGAGAAAACCCTCTATCTGCTCTAGCTGATGGCAAGTTAAATTCAGAAGTCCAGGCTAGTCTGAGAGATGCCGGCCCCCGACAAGTGGGGACAGGGTCCCCTCCAGGGCCCCAAGCCTGGAGCCAAGAGTCTGGAAAGGCCAAACCCACTGCCGAGAGTTTCTGGGAAGCAGGTGCTTGCTGGTCCTCTGCCACCAAGCTGTGTGACAGCTGCCCCTCCGCTGAGCCTCTGCTCTGGTTGCTATCCCAGAAGAGCCAGAAACTCGTCGTAGGATCAGCCATGAGACCACAAAGGAAATGCAACCGGGTCCCAGCGGGACAACTGTTGCTGGGGGCTGCAGTGGAACTCTCAAGTCTGCAGACATTTCTAGAAGCTGCAGTGTTTTCTGTGGCTTTGTGTTCCCGAGCCGTCCTCAGTGCCCGCTGGGGCCTCCACAGACACTGGATCCCATCTGGTTGGGGTCCAGGCCCTTGAGGTATACACTACTCTCTAAGTGCCCAGTAAGGGATGGCGGGGAGACAGTTGGGAGCGCGCTTGCCATGTAAGAATGAGGACCTACGAGAAAGCAAACAAAAATCCGGTGGATGGCTCCCGAAGAACCACACCTGAGGTTGAGCACTGGCCACTGTGCGCGCGTGTGCCTGCATGTGCGTGTGCGTGCGTGGGCGCGTGTGCATGTGTGCGTGCCTGCATGTGCGTGTGCGTGCGTGGGCGCGTGTGCATGTGTGTGTGCGTGCATGGGCGCGTGTGCATGTGTGCGTGCGTGCATGTGCGTGTGCGTGCGTGGGCGCGTGTGCATGTGTGTGTGCGTGCATGGGCGCGTGTGCATGTGTGCGTGCCTGCATGTGCGTGTGCGTGCGTGGGCGCGTGTGCATGTGTGCGTGCCTGCATGTGCGTGTGCGTGCGTGGGCGCGTGTGCATGTGTGCGTGCCTGCATGTGCGTGTGCGTGCGTGGGCGCGTGTGCATGTGTGCGTGCCTGCATGTGCGTGTGCGTGCGTGGGCGCGTGTGCATGTGTGCGTGCCTGCATGTGCGTGTGCGTGCGTGGGCGCGTGTGCATGTGTGTGTGCCTGCATGTGTGTGTGTGTGCGTGGGCGCGTGTGCATGTGTGTGTGCCTGCATGTGCGTGTGCGTGCGTGGGCACGTGTGCATGTGTGCGTGCATGCATTTGTGCGCATGCGTGCGCGAGCACATGTGTGTGCGCGGGTGTGTGCGCGTGTGTGTGTGCACACACCCACAGTTTACCGAGTCATTACATAACAGCCACAGGGAAGCCCCACAGCCCGCAGCCTTGCAGCCTGCATGGCCCAGCCCCCACCCCTTCCTGTTTGTGGATCACAAAAGCCTTGCCCCTTTCTCAGGGGAAGAAAGTGGCCCTGGGAAAGTCACCAGGCTGGGAGGCTTCAGAAGGCCCTCGACCTGCCCCCTGCCTCCCTGACGGAGCCCGAGCCTCTGGACTGCCCCTTTGCTCAGCATGTCATGGGAGGTTGGGCGGGATGCTTACAGGCTCACTAACCCTCTTACACTGGGAACTTCTGTCTCTTGAGATGGGATCTCACCCTGTACTCCCGACTGGCCTTGAACTTGTACATCACAGACTGGTCTTGAACTTATAGCAATCCTCCTGCCTTAGTCCTAAGTGCTGAGACGATAGGTGTGGGCCATCGTACCCACAAGGAGCAGCTGTGTGCATGTATGGACTCTGCTTCTGGGCTGTGTCCAGAGAAACAAACTTCTGACCACTCTGGGTCCTGCCAAAAGCCAACCCAACTGCTGTCTGGGCACAGTCCTGTCCACTTGGTCCCCAGACATGATGGCTGGGAATGCAGAGACAGGATTATCTCCACCCCAGTTCTGGCTTTGGTTTGTAGTTTATCAGGTGACATTTTAAACCAGACTGGTGAAGGGTGGCTCTCTGGGGAGAGCAGCTAAACACCCGGTGCTATTCCTGGCTGCCACTTGTCTTGCTGAGTGAGGGCTGGTGAGGCGACCACACTTGTGTAGTCTCCTCAGGCTGGAGGCACGCGTACCTGGTCAGCCTTCCCTACCAGGCTGGGCCAGGCAGGGTTCATGATTGACAGGGTCTTTGCTCAGCATCTGCCTTGGAAGCCAAAGTTATCTAGAGACCAGAGACGCTGTGCTCAGCTGGGGTGAAGCTATTTCTGTGTACAGGCAGGATGTTGGGGGGCGGGCAGGGGGAGCATCTGCTGGGTGCTGTGGAGATCTGGACTTCTTTGGGGTCTTTCATGATACCTGTGTGGGTGAGTGCTTACAGTTATAAACCTGGGTGCCCCTGATTCTTTGGATCCAGCCAGTTACGGCTCATCACCAAGACGTGGTAGGGAATGGAGACCCCGCAGGCCACGACAGGGTGCTCACTGTGAGCGTCAGGACACCGGCCCTAATCTGGCTGTCAGAGTCGAAAAAGGGTTCCCTTTGGGGAGGGGGCACTAGGTGTCTGAACACTGAGCAATTATGTAGTAAGCAGAGGTTATCGGCCTGGTGGCAGGGTGCCTGGGCTTAGACCCCAATTCTCACTGCAGCAACCAAGTGGTTAACCAAGACTTTGGATGTCGTTAAGTCGAGACTGAGGGATTTCCTGTAAACAACCTGCTACTTCCTGTGAAGGTGAGGCAGGGCAGTTGCCTGGCTCCTGAGCTACTCTCTGTGCCTGGCTCCTGAGCTACTCTCTGCCTGCCAACCCCTCTGCACTGCTGCCTCTCTGCAGAGTCCCTGCCTCTGACCACGAGAGCACCACAGCATGCCAGCCTCCCTCACAAGAGCCACAGGAGCTATGGCTATGAGACTAGGAGGCCAGATGGCCAGAACTCAGAAATGCCTAATCCTGCCTGTGAAACACTTCACCATCCACGCAGGGACCATGTTCCCAAAGAGAAAGCATGTGCCCATTAGTTGGACAGAGGCCGGGGGGGGGGTCCAGAAAGCTTGTCGCTCCTGAGAACCCCACCGTATTGAACCCCAGGTACAGAGGGCGTCACTCTGGTTGCATGGAGAAACGTAGACGGTATGGACCCACTGGTTCACCTGGAATGGCCTACGTGGCCTAACCTTCTGCACTCTTACTAATCTTACTAGAATTTCTTAGAGTGGTGCCGGAGGCTGTGTCACTCTTTTAAAAAACAGTTTCTCAGAGGCTGGAGGGAAGGCTTGGTGGTTGAGTGCCGTGGCACCTGTAGAGGACCAGAGTTTCATTCCCAGCACCCATGTGAGGAGG